ACGCACACAGACACACACACACACGCACAAACACGCACACACACACACGCACACGCACACATACACGCTCACGCACGCACGCACGCACACACACACACACACACGCGCACGCGCGCGCACACACGCACACACACGCAGCACACGCACACGCGCGCGCCACACACACACACACACACACACACACACACACACACACACACACACACACACACACAAACACTCACACTCACGCGCGCGCGCGCGCGGGCTTCCAAAGCGGGAAGTTAAAAATGTATATGTGCTAAAATTTGACCGCGGCAGGCCAAGCTTCCTCAATAAAATGTCTAATTGATAGTGAAAACTGTAAATGTATAGTAGTATCAATTACATTCACTGGTAGACGCGACTGGGCGACTTTATTTATAATTTTATGCTATTTAGAGATAAACTGACGAAGTATTTCTATCAAAGGCATAACATTATTTATAGAAACTCCCTAGTCAATGTCCGATCTATAGATATTGACAAGCATTAATGGAATTGATTCATTCCTAACTTCGTTCCTTACAGTCCTACACAATCCCACTGCTTTACAGGCCTTCCCCAAGGAATGCCCCAAGTACGGTTCTAAAGCGCATGCGTCTATAGGCTTTCTGCATGTCTTATCAGCTCTTTTGTATGAATAAGATTGACAAACCAGCATATAGTCCAGATTCTGGTAAGTGGATGCTGTGGCCCATAGACATCTAAATATATCCTCATAAAATATCAAAATGCAGATGTGTTGTCACCCCTGAGAACTAAGATGGAGTGTCTCGTTTCCAGTACAAAGAGTCTCCGGTTCTCTACGATCACCATACTAAACACAGCAGCTCTAAGCTGCTATTTTTACGCTGGTATTCTGTGGGAGCGATAACCAGCCCACTCAAGCCGATCCATCCGTCCTACACCCACATTACAGCGGTAGGGTCACTCTACGTTAAAGTATTGCAAAGTATGGATTGCATTCATAGTATTTCCTAGTTGTGTCGATATTTTGACGCATATCAAATAGTGCGACCTATGAACTTTGGCGTATAGTCTCCCAATTATTCGTGCGTCAATTGGGTACATGAATTTGAACGTATTTTACTGTCAAGGCCAAAGTATAAATATGTTGGCCTTGGCAGTAAAACTGACTCGTATACCGTGATGGCGAACAGCGTGACGTTCTCTTATGTCGTCACGTACTATCTAAGCCACCGCTTTCAACTATATACTATACACTTTGTTGCTTCCCTGAGTTGTGTAGGTACTACGTGTGCCTTTCTTTTGACTATAGTATACCTGACGCGTTTACCGGTTGTATATTTTATACTTTGTATTTCTTTTTACATTAAATTATTTGTTTTTAATTCTACCATCAACCATCATAATTCACATGTACCGAGCGTCGCGCTAAGGCCAACATTTTTTAACCGACTTCAAGAAGGACAAGGTACTCAATTTAACTGTATGTTTTTTATGTGTGTTACCTCAGAACTTTTTTCTGGGTGAACCGACTTTGATGGTTTTTTCTATTTGCAAGTTAGTGCTTTTTGTGTGGTCTCATAATAATTTTATCAAGATCTTTTTTTTTTTTTATAGAAGATGGGGCAAACGAGCATGTGGCTCACCTGATGTTAAGTGACTACCGCCGCCCATTATCAACCGCAACACCAGGAGAATTGCGGGTGCGTCGCCGGCCCTTTAGAAAGGAGTACGCTCTTTTCTTGAAGGTCCCCAGGTCGTATCGGTCCGGAAAAATCGCCGGTGGTAAACTATTCCACAGAGAGTTTGTACGTGGAAAAAAACTCCGTGTGAAACGTACGGTGGTGGACCGCCAAGCATCCAGATGGTGTGGATGGTATCGGGACGCTTGACGTGTAGTGCGTTCACGAAATTTGGCGGCTGGGATTAATCCGAACAATTCCTCAGAGCACTCCCCGTGATAGATGCGATAAAATACGCAAAGAGATGCAACATCTCTTCGCAGCGCCAGTGAATCGAGCCGATCGGAAAGCACTCGGTCGTCGACGATTCGAGCCGCTCTGCGCTGGATGCGGTCAAGTGGAAGAAGCTGGTACTGGGGAGCCCCAGTCCAGAGATGGGAACAGTATTTCCATGTGCGGCCGAACCTGCGCCTTGTAAAGTTGCAGGCAGTGTGCCGGCATGAAATACTGTCCCGATCTGCTGAGCACGCCAAGCTTTTTAGAGACCAATTTGGCCTTCCCTTCCAAGTGACCACGAAACTGCACGCCACTCGATATGTCGACGCCGAGGATTCCGATACTGGCTGAGGCAACAAGGGGAGTGCCTTGAAACTGAGGGGATACGACAAAGGGGTTCTTTTTAGCGGTTAACGCGCAAACTTGTGTCTTCTGGGGGTTAAACTGGACTAAATTTAGTCGCCCCCAATCCGAGACTCTGTCCAGCAGAGACTCGATTTCAGACACAAGTTTGTTCCGGCACTCGGAGACGTTTTCCCGAGAAATATTGGCTCGGCCGGTGTAAAGAGCATCACCATTGCTGTCATCTGCATAGCAATGAATGTTACGGGTACGCAACATGTCATTGATATGCAGAAGAAACAGCGTTGGCGATAGCACACAGCCCTGTGGAACACCAGCATTAATAGGCTTGCAATCGGAGCTTGCACCGTCTACAACGACCTTGATGCTCCGATCTGCAAGAAAGCTGGTGATCCAATCGCACAATTTCTCGGGAAGCCCATAGGAAGGGAGCTTCGAACAATAGTTTTTGAGTAATCCTTAATAATGCGTATTTGATTAACTTCAAATACATTGATGAGGTTTCATTTTATTTATATTGAAGTCGGTTGCACAAAATTTTTAAATTTACCACTTGTTTAATTCCAAAAGGAAAGTGAATAGAATAAAATAAAAATTAGGCTATCTACATGATTCTTTTACTGTATAATATACGTAACCGAATACAGCTTCTTCTTTGCGGCTGGTGAAAGTGGTGAGCTGAATAATATATCATCATCAGAATCATAACAGCCCTTCACATGTCCACTGCTGAACATAGGCCTCCCAAGCCCCAAAGTATGCTGCAAAGCACGAACCACTTGCTTACATTGACATCCTGCATTTCTTAATAAGTCGTCACTCCTCGTGGAGCGGCCATTATTTCATCTCCTTTTATAGAATAGGGTTGATAAACAAACACACAGTCCACCTGATGGTAAGTGGATACTGTAACCTATAGATATCTACATCTGTCCTCGATTGAGAATCAAAATGCAGATGCGTTGTCCCCTCTGTAAGAATAGGGTGGAATGTCTCGGTTCCCGTAAAAAGAGTATTCAGTTCTCTACACTCACACCATCCGAAACACAACAGCATTAACGTGCTATTTTACGCTGGTATTGTGTGAGAGCTTTGTTCCTCCCCGGTCGAGCCGACGACCCAATCGTGCTACAGCCACGATAGAGTTGTAACGTGGCTCTACTACGCAATACTTCTTCCTGTTCATTTTCACTAGCCAAAACGAGACATTTTTAACCGACTTCAAACAAGAAAGTAGTTTTCAATTCGTGTGGAAATATGTACATTATATATTGCGTATTTAAATAGCAACCATAATATAGATGCAGCGTGATCAGGTACTAATTATAGAAACTATTTATAGGGGATTTGTTACCTGAAATAAATCTATTTTTTTAAGATACTTGCAATGTTATCAACATTACTAATATTCCCTTTAACCACTCCTGGTAAGCTTCAAATGCTTGGGTTAGGAGTGGTTCACGCGTTTCTGTTGATCGATTTCGGACGTTTTTTTTTTTTAATTTATTGCTTGAGTCTCATTAGTTGTTGGCAGTAAAGATCTGAATCGATGGTTTTGCCCGGCGGTAAAAGCTCATAATAAAAGATGCCCTTTCAATCCCAGCATACACACAACATCACCTTATCGCGTGTTAATCCGAGTTTTGCTAGTGTGTGGAACTTTGGTCTTTGGCTATGAACTTTCTTACACGTTGTTGTCGTAGGTGATCCACTCTTTTAATCACCAGTAATGAATATTTTGAAAAAATGGTTCGGTTTCATTACGTTTCAATAGAGAATCGCAAATGAGTACACGTTGAATTCATCGTTGAACACATGTTGAATTCGCGACCCGCAACCTACCATTAGGCTGCTGTCGCTTCAAATTGATCCTGAATTAGTCTAAGCAATTTGAAGACTAAAATATTTTTTTTATTTGAAGAAAAAATATAAAGATATTTTCCTACAAAGTCAATTCATAAACCATAAACCTTTTAATAGTATGTTTCTTTCAATAATTAATTTTAATAGTATGTTTCTTTGTTTCAACCGATTGGGAAAAAAGGCTCTCGAGTGGTAGCCTCGTACCGGTAGGCGAAGTGTAGAGCGACCCCCCCCCCACTAGATGGAGTAACGCCCTGGTAAGACACGCAGGAAGTCGATAGATGCAGGTGGCTCAGGACCGTGCTTTGTGGCATTACTTGGGGGAGGCCTATATTCAGCAGTGGACTTGTAAAGGGCTGTAATGATGATGATGAATTATGCAATATTTAAATTGATATTTCACGGTATGAGCATAACTATACGGCTTTATCGTATACCGATGCCATTGAAATACATATTATAAACAACTAAATTGATAGACAATGGTGATATGGTGAAGATGGGCAAAATTAAACTTTCAAAAAATATGACGAGACATTCCATCTTAGTACTCAGGGGTGACAACGCATCTGCATTTTGATTTTAAGTCGAGGATAGCTGTAGATGTCTACGGCCCACAGCATTCATTAATCGTCAGTTGAACTGTGTGCTCATTTAAAAAAAAACCTCGGGCGAAGCCTATGTCAAGCATTGGTGGAATTGTAGACAAGTAGTAGTTTAATGATAAATAAACACTACACACCCTTAACCGACAAGCTGTGAAAGAGATGTGAGAGAAGCGAGAAAGGTGTATCGAGATCATATCAAATGTATGGTATATAATACTAGATGGTAGAACTTTTCTTCATAGGATTACCTGGTAGGGAGCAAATGCGCTGGAAGCAGACCCAGGCTTGTAAAGATATTGAGGTGATGTGTTTACTTATACTACGATTATTCTGTGTTTTGATAAAAAGGGTAAGATAAATAAAGGTCTATAGTTGTTGAGTGAGGTTTGCAATTTTGGGAGGGGATAAGCTTTACGCCAAGAAGCAGGAAAGACTGCAGACAACAGTTCTACTACCAAATAGCAGTGTTCGCATTGCTATATTCTGGTCTAACAGGTATAATTACAGGCTATGAGGTACTCAGAGGTGGCAACGCTCCTTTTCTATAGAATAAGGGTGACAAAAGATCACAAATGTAATGTATACATATGGCGGACTTAATGCCACTAAACCATTGGGCTAAACAGAGATAGACATATAGGAGGCTGTGCAGCAATAATCAAATATAAAGGGTAAATATATATATATATATATATATATATACGTAAATACATACAATCGGTACGTTTAAATATTATCTACGAGCTGAAAATTTCGGGAATCAAGGAAGTGACACAACATTACTATTTAAAAATGTATTTATTGCTTTTCGAAGTATTCTCCGCGAAATTTGACACATTTTTCCATACGATGGAACCAATCATTGAAGCAACCATTCCGTTCGGTAGTTGGGGTCTCCAAAATGGCCGTTTTGTAGGCGTCCACAGCTTCCTCAGGTGATGAAAATCTCCGTCCACGCAATTTATTCTTTATTTTAGGGAAAGTATAGAAATCATTAGGGCTTCTTAGGTCGGGGCTGTACGGCGGATGGTCTAATAATTCCATGTTTTCTTGCTCTAAAAACTCTTTTGTTCTGTGTGCGGGTGAGAACTCGCATTGTCGTGATGAAGGATGATGCGGCGGTTGCAGTTCTCTTTACGGAGTTCAGAAACGACCTGTGGCAAACAAATGCTAGCGTACCAATCTGCATAAACGTTCTTTGTCCCTCAAGAGAATAGTCGTAACATGGCCGGTTTTGGAGACAAACGTGGCCACCATTATTTTGCAATACTCCGTGAACGAACAATTTTTGTTGGCTTTAACTCATTTTCAAACACCCAAACTCGTAACTGGTTTTTTGTTTCGAGTCCGTACGCATATATCCAGGATTAGTCACCTGATACGATGTTGTATACAGCATTTGAGAATCCTGCGTGGAATCTTTCGAGAGTTTTGACGCACCAAGTAACGCGATGCGCATTTTGCTCTTCACAGAGCGAATGCGGTATCCATCAGGAAAACAACTTTTTTACACCTAATTGTTCATGCAAGATTATTTGTATTTGACTCATGCCTATGTCTAAAGTTGCCTGAATTTCATGGTATGTCACATGTCGATCTTCCTCAATCAGCTTACGCAAAGCATCAACGTTTTCTTGGGTGACTGCAGTTTTTGGACGACCTTGACGGGGATCATCACTGAGCTTGACACGTCCACGTTTAAATTCAGCAAACCAGCAATAAATTGTGGTTTTGGATGGGGCTTCATCACCAAATGCAGAAATCATCCGGTCAACACACTTTTTTGTGTTAAACCACTTCGAAAGTTTTAATAAATCATCGCTCTTGAATTTTCTCGAGTCAATTCCATTTTTTTCAACGACTAAACAAGTTTGACAAAACCTTGTGACAAGACCGAGAATCTTTTTTTTAAATAAATAAATGGTATTCGATTTTTAAAACCAAGGAGTTTTCAATTAAAAAGATTTTAATATGACAGGAACAGTGGAAATATTCCATTCCCGATACTTTTAGTGCAGCCTAGGTATGTCAGAACAAATATGAAATATATATAAAAATAAGAGCTGTGTTTGAAACTTGTAACGATTTTTTCACATGCTTACGAAGTTGATTTTTTCAATGTCAGGAGAGATGTTGATCCAGAGTCTAATGGCCGTGAGGGCGAAAGGGTGAATAAATAACCAGTACGGTGTAAAGGAATGAGCAACTTAAGAACTGAGAGAACAATTATGAGAATCTCTCAGGTATTGAAATTTGGATTTCACCTACACGGTAGCACATGTATCTGATTTAGTGATATAGATCGTTCAGAATTGTGAAAAGATACGGCAGGTTTAGCTGAGTAGGTACGATAAGAAGATACATGGTCGTATTGTTCTTTTGAAATTAATACATAGCGCCTGAATCGTCTCCTAGGGGAGCCCCTATCTTGATTATAAATTCCAGTGTTAAATATTTTTGCATAAGTAGCTTTGATTTACTTACTAATTACTACATAAGCAAATCTTTAATTTGGTATTTAACTTACAATAGCCATTAGAAAAAATTGTGTCAAACGTTCCCTCTGAATGTACAACATTGCTCTGTAAAAATAATTTAAAAATAAACCCATAAATATTCAATTTTTTTTAAATTTTTAATTCACGAATTGACAAAAACGTCTAACGTGTGCAGTTTTAATGAAGTCGGCGGAAGTTAACCAGGTTATTACGATACCCACACCCTCTCTGGCATCATACGAATGCAGAAGATATAGGAGTGGTCGTATGAGTTAATAGGGATCAGTGTTAACTGGTCAGGTATTAATGAATCTTTAATTCAAGGGGTCAGAGGCCAAAGGAGATATCAACGCCCGCCGATAAGGAGACTGATTGGTAAAGCGTTGTAACTCCTAAATAGTGTATTTAATTTAGTGTTAATTATTGCTGCTTGATTATGTTACATATAACTGTTTTGTTAATAATAATAGTAATTTATTTTATTTTAATTTATTTATTATTTTTTATTTATACTGAACGGCTTAAATAACGATTCACAATGATTTCTTTTAATAAATATTCTTGAAATTATATTTGTGTTTATTTTCGACCAGGAATAGGTCGCCAAACCTTACTCCTTGCCAATACTTAGTAACAGGCCATGACTGCTGTTGAAGTCAGAAATCGTCGTGCATTTAAATGGCAGGACTATCAGGAGACGCCTGAGTGAAACTGATATCATGGCCAGAAGACCTGCGCATGGACCAAAGCTTACCAGGCAGCATCGAGTCAGCAGACTTGCATTCGCACAAGAACATGTGAATTGGGATATGGAACAGTGGAGCGAAGTGCTGTTCACAGATAAGTCCTGATTTTGCTTACGAGTTTTGATTGTCGGTTATTCTTTGTCAAAGAATAACTTAAATAACACGTATCAATAAGACATGATACCAAAAACATTTTCTAAGACAATTAATTACTTAAAGTACAAAATGATTCGTTTTTGTGCCTGTCAGTGTATATTAATACAGTCCAACCATATGGGAATATTATTAAAATACTGCACAGTAATAATTTATTTTATTAGACTCTCTGATAATTACTCTTATGTACAATATAAAATCTATATTAAATAAGACCTAATTAAACTTTTTGAATGTTTAATTTCTTGAATATTATCAACTTCGACCAATGTACTATTATTGATCGAAGATTATCAATGATAAAAACAAATCGCTTTAGGAATATGTGTCGTAACGTGTTGTAGGAATTTTTTTTTATAAACCTTAAATGCCAGACAAACTCTGGCAGTAATTTTATAAATAATAAATTGTTCTAAAGTACGTCTTATATTATAAATACACTACTACCTAAATTAATATAAAAATATTAAAAAATACTGCTTAATTTTTTAGAAATTCAACATAGCATTGGTAGATATAAATTTAATCCCAATTGTATATTTGGTAATGCCGAAGCTCTGTCTCGTTTACATTCAGTTGATTTTGTTTTAGATATTATTTCCACTTTGATTTTTTTTTATAAGATAGATATTATACGTGGTAGTCCTCACGGGTGACAACGCATCTACGTTTTGATTCTTAATCGAGGATAAATGTAGATGTCTATGGGCCACAGCATCTACTTACCATCAGGTGGGCTGTCTGCTCGTTTGTCATCCTTATTATATAAAAAAGATGAACTGATGATAAGTGGTTGCTGTAGCCCATAGACATCTACATCTATCCTCGTTTACGAATTAAAATTCAGATGCGTTGTCACCCGTGAGGACTAAGATGGAATACCTCGTTTCCAGTAGAAAGGATCTCCGGTTTTCTACAATCACCATACGAAACACAGCAGCATAAAGCTACTATTTTACGCTGGTATTCTGTGAGAGCGTGGTCCTTCCCCGGTCGAGTCGACCCATTCGTGCTACAACTATACTACTAATATAACTGCAGCATGGCTCTACCACGTACAATTTTTTTTTTAATTTTTACGTGTCTAATGAATATTCACGTAATTCTATGGGGATGAAAATAGATATTCTGGAGTTGCAACACTGTTCCAGTGCACTCTTAATGTATATACCTAATCATTCATTCGGTGCTCGCCAGTGATAATACTTGTGTATTTGTAACTCGAGGAATATTCGTTAAATACCACAAACAAATGTTTTGGTAAGTAAACAAAACTTATATGTCAAAGTTTGTATTTACGGCATGGTGATGGTGTAACAGTGACTTCTTTTTCTAAATATATTATCTAAATGTATAAGAGGTAGAGCTACGCTGCTGTTATATTATAGTTGTAGCACAAATGCGTCGACTCAACCGGGTAAGGCACTTGCTCTCACAGAAAACGTGAAATATCTTTTTTTTCTTTTAATGGACGTAAAGAACTCTTATTACTTTAAATAATCATACAATCTTGGTTTTCATCCCATAAAGATGGAATAGAGAGTGCCCCTGTGCTTGCGCATACACTCGTGCACTATAATCCTGTTTTGCGCTGATCGTTAGTCTCCATTAAGGCCGGCTGCAGCGACTGGAATTCCGTCTGAAATAGAGATGCCCAAAAGTAAATGATTTTATGATCCAATGAAGATAAAACCAATGAAGATGAAACTGTGTGATAAAAGAAGAGTGTGGTTTGCAAGATGATGCGGTGACCAGGATTAAGAAAGGAATGCTTCGGTGGTTTGGTCACGTGGAAAGAATGAATGCGGAAAGACTGACAAAGCAAATATATGTTGCAGAAGTGAATGGAAGAGTCGGAAAGGGACGTTCTAGGCGGAAGTTTGTCGACCAAATTCGCGATATACTAAAAATGGGCCAAATTAAGAGTACCCTTAACCGACGAGCATGTATGCGTAAGTATATGGATGTGGAAGAGGCGAGAGAGGTATGTCAGGATCGTGCTAAATGGAAGTCTGTAGTCTCTGCCTACCCCTCTGGGTGACAGGCGTGAGTGTCTATGTCTATGTCAATGAAGATAAGTGCATATCACGTCTTAGACTTGAGAGATGAGAGGTCGCAGGGCCAGGCATCTTGCAACTTGCATTTTACTGCTTGCCTAAAGTAAAGCTCTGCTTTTGGGCCCACCCTCTTCTCATTCTTGAGGTCACAGTCAAAATCAAAATATATATGTAGTGCGATATTTAAATGTTCATCATTCCATCATTATTATAGCCTATAAAAATTATACTGGTGAACACTGAGCACCCCCAAAGACGCATTTTGATTCTTAGCCGAGGATAAATGTAGATGTCTATGGGCCACAGTATCCACTTACCATCAAGTGGACTGGGTGATCGTTTGTCACCCTTATTCTATAAAAAAAAAACAATATATTCTCGTGCAGGTTTCTTTCATGATGTTTACCTTCACTATCGAGCACGTGGTAAATCAGTACTTACAAATGCTCGCGGATTCTGTAGATTACATTATTTATTGTATTAGATTCGGTGCCGTACATCGCCGTGATATACCATGGGCGTCGTAAGAGACAGTGGGGAAAGTGAAACAGAAAGCAGCATCTTCCTTGTTGAATCCTTGTTCAGTTGTCCGCCTTAAAACTTGGCTAATATGAGGCAAAGCAATATGATGTCCATGTTCACCAGTGAAATTTTGATAAGCTATTGGCCATGAGAGGAAAAATGGGTAAGGCGTTCAGCCCGGATAGCGGCCAACGCTCCGTGTGTTAGTTACAGAACTCTTCTACATATAGAGTAGTACTTCGGAACTTTGATAGCGTGATTTAGGCTCCGGTGCGTTTCGCTCGTGGCGCGACGACAGTGCCCCCACAGGCTTTTTTATAGAATAAGGGTAACAAACGAACACACAGTGCACCTGATGGTGAATGCTGTGGCCCTTAGACATCTACATCGGTCCTCAATTAAGAATCAAAATTAAATGTAATGCCATACATGAGGAATAAGATGGAATGCCTCATTTCTAATAAAAGGGTCTCCGGTTTTCTACACTCATCATACGAAACACAGCAGTATTGAGGTACTATTTTATGCTCGTATTCTGTGAGCGCATGGTCCTTCAAGCTACAACCATAATATTCATTACAGCGTGACTCTACTACGTACTAAATAAGCATAACATTTTATTTTTTCTTATTTAATCAACCTTCAAAATTTAATGTTGCCTATATAACCAAAAGTACATGAAATCCATTTTAATAATGCTGCAATCCCTAGTTCGTGATAGGACGAAGCTGGGAAATTTCCTTATCTCGCTTCAACAAAGATAAACATTAATTAATATGATAGTAGATCCAATCGGAAAGTTTTACAGTTCCTTTACCCTACGAATTTGTTCGGATTGATACTTTCATCTTTTGCCGACAAGTCACGTTGCATTTACTGCTGTGATCCGGTCGACGTAAAGAGAGTAAGTTTAATTACACGCTGTGAGGCATCCGCACTTACTCCTCAGAGGAGACAACGCATCTACAGCTTCTCTGTTCGAAGTTTCAGGTGTCTATGGAGTGCAGTGGCCTCTTACCATCAGGTGGACTGTTCTTTTGTTATTTTGTACGTTACATACGTAGTAAAGCCACGCTGCAACTATATTATGGTTGTAGCTTGAAAGGGTCGGACCACGCTCTCACAGAATACCAGCGTGAAATAGCAGCTTAATGCGTGCTGTGTTTCGTATGGTGAGTGTAGAGAACTGGAGCCCCGTTTTACTCGAATCGAGGTATTACACAACAACTTTCAGTCCTCAAGGGTGACAACGCATCTCCATTTTGATTCTTAATCGAGGTTAAATGTACTCGTAGATGTAATTGAATGAGATGGCCACAGCATCCTTTACTATCGGGTGGACTGTGTGCCTGTTTGTCACCCTTATCTCATAAAAGGAAAATACTTTTATAAATAATGATGATATTAATAATAATGTCCTTCGGATCGAATTTCGGCCACGGCGGCCTGCCTCAACGCAGGCTAGCCATCGGCGCAAGACATCCTGTCTGTATAGTCAATAATAATTGTATGCGCAAGCACAGTTGCACTCTCTATTCCCTCACTCTCATAGTCCGATGGGACGGTAAACCGACACGACCAGAGAGAGATCAGGCGCAGGACCAACGGCTTTACGTGCTTTCCGAGGCGCGGGGGTGAGACACCGGCAACTTTCTGACTCTTTTTTTATAGGATAGGGTGACAAATGCGCATACAGTCCACCTAATGGTAAGTGGTCGTTGTGCAAAATAGAAATCTACATCTACCCTCGATTACGAATCAAAATGCAGATGCGTTGTCACCCGTGATGACTAAGATGGAACTCTTCGCTTCCAGTAAAAAGAATCTCCGACTCTCCACACTCACCATGTGAAACACAGCAGTATCATGCTACTATTTTACGCTGGTATTCTGTGAGAGCATGGTCCTTCCCCGGTCGAGCCGACCTATTCGTGCTACAACTATACTACTAATATAATTGCGGCATGGCTCTACCACGTATATCAGTTATTGAGTTATTCTTGACGGGTTAACTCAATAACTAATTTTTTTGGTTCGACCCGGGATTCGAACTCGGGACCTCATGATCATCGATCGCGTTTACAACCACTAGACACATAAGAGAGTCAAAGATGATATTAATGGTATAATGGCCACTGCAGTCACACTTGCAACTAACTTCACACGAAGCAGCTGATGCGTTGTCACTTGAAGACTAAGATGTAACGCTTCACAGCCTGTAAACCTGAACTCAGCAGTGGCAGACACTGGTACGGCAGAAATAAACAACAGATAGCAACAGGAATAAGTGCCTCCGCAAGTTATGATATCCGTGTCATCTCTGAACACTAGATCTAAGGATGTGAGCTGTTAAAGTTAAGTCTCTGTACGTCCAAGTGCTGGTCACAGGCCTCATCTCACTTCAAGAAAATGTCTGAACTTCACTGAACTTCATGTGCCCGAAATTATTTTCTATTTCACATACCAATTAAATTTACAGCCTATATACGTCCCACTGCTGGGCACAGGTCTCCCCTCATTTATGAGAGTGTTTTAGGGCAAGGAAACCCCTTTGTGGTTGGCGAACTTCACATGTCTTCGAAATATCTTTTTTTCTTATTTCGCAGACATACAGGTTTCCTAACGATGTTTCTCCACCGCCGAGCACGTGGTAAATCAGTATTTAAAATTGCAATTAACAATAAGATGTGGTGCTTGCGGGGATTGAAACCAGGTTCCTCGCGTACTATTAAAATGTATAACGAGCGATAACCTACGGCTCTGTGAGGTGTAACCAACTTTAAACAAATAGGAAGGTTACAGATGAGTTGCCAGCTATGTGGTTTAAGATGGAATGCCTAATCCTGTAATAACATTTTTTTTAAACATCGGTTATTTATATCCATTTACACTGAATTATAGCAGTATAAGGATTACTTCTTGGTGAGAGAAATAGACAAGTTGGTAGTACGCCAATCCAAACTGACTACTTTACAGAAAATCTAGTTTGAAAAAAATCGTTTGAAAAAAAAATTTAACGATCACTTTGTCCTTTGCACCCTGCGGATCAAAAATACCTACTAAATTTATTGTTTTATTGCCGATCGTAAAGTAGGGTGGATATGATTTAAATTTAAAAACTTTTTAATTAATTTATTTATTTAATTTAAAATTATTATGTTTGTTTTTTGTAAAATATGAGTGCCATAGGCATTTACTCCGTTCACATGTTACACCCAATTTTTTTCAGATGGCAAAAAAGGTCATCCAGTACTTCCTATCGTTACAGATAACGCAATGATCATCATCTATTTATTATGGTCTTTTGGTAAGTTTTATTATTTTGTTGTATGTAAAGAACAGATTTTACCGTATATATATATGGTATAAATATGTAAAAAAAATCTATATATATATTATTTCAAATAAGTGTCATCAAAATCGGTTCACCTAGAAGAAAGTTCTAAAGCAACACACTTAAAAAAACATAGTCAAATTGAGTTCCTCCAGTTTTATGAATTCGGTAAAAAAGCCAATGCAAACCCGACAAAATCGGGACGCACCTTTTTCATTAATTTCCACAGAAGTAGATTTATGTTTAATGGTGTCAATTCATAATTGACAGCTCCGTAGCGCAGTTGCTTGGCAAGAGTCGCGGGTTCGAATCCCGCACAGAACACGTATTTGTATGGGCTACTAATTGTTTCGGGTCTGGATATTTGTCTGTATATCATGTCATGTATCATATCATGTCTGTAATACATGAATGAGTTATTTTCATCCATGTATTTCTTGATATACAATGATCGCCACCACGCTTCTATTAAAAAAATCACGCTGTGTTTCCTACTGGTTATTCCCAGGACAGAGGTATTGTCCGAACCAGTGCAGTGGTAAATAAAAAAATTACTTTCAATAAGTATAATTGCAAAACCAGGACCAATTGCTAGTATTACATATTAGCTTTCTATACTCCATCTCCATATAAACTTTAACCACGCCAAACATCACACTCATTCATGCATACGATATGCTCAAAAAGGAGTACAAAGTTTACCCTTCACGTATTAACATATAGATAAATATTCCAGGCCTTGCAGCGGTGACTGCTGCGCCAAATGGCCTCCAGGTGTTGTTCCCTGAGCTGCACCGGCAGTACAGTTTCGTGGTGAAAACCAACTCATCATCGGGTATCCTGGCACCGAGGGAAGGGAACACGTTTTGGACTCTAGAAGGAAGACTGTTGGTTACTGTCTACGATAACTACACCAAAGTGAGATTCAAGTTGGACGATTTAAAGGTGCGTAAAAAAAGTAGTAGAATGTTTAGTAGAAAGTAGTTTTTATACAATAGACGAATATTTAAATTCATACAAATAAATAAAATTGAAGTATCCATTTGCAATGTCAAAATAAAAGCTTTTTCAAAATACATATGAACGTATATAGGGCAGTTATAAAAAAAAAATTGTCTGTTTGTCTGTTTGTTTATTCGGGCTAATCTAATAAACGGTTGGACCGATTTTATGGGATTTTCACTGTCAGATAGCTGATGTTATAAGAAGTAACTTGAGCTACTTTTAATTAGGGTGCTGCGCTAATGAAATTAAAATCCATGAAATCGAGTTGTTATAAATTAATTAGACGTGGACGAAGTCGCGAACAGCTAACGTAACAGCAGTTCTTCTTTACTGGATGACTTTTTTACCGTCTGGAGGTATATGGCATTGATATTTTACGAAAAGAAAAACAAAAATTTTGAATTAAATAAATATATAAATTAAAATCTATCGAAATTGAAATAATACTAGTTTTTACGGAATTTATCGCGTGTATTTAACTTTTTAATTACCCGACGTTTCGAACGCTTTACAGCACTCATGGTCACGGGCAAAAAAAATTTTAAATTTTAATCTATGGTAACCGCGGTTAACTATGACATATGGACGTTGAACATCTCAGTCCTGCCCGTGCTGTAAACGGTACTGTAAAGTGCTCGAAACGTCGGGTATTTAAAAAGGTAAATAAGCGATAAAATTTTTAAAAACAAGTATTATTTAAATCATTGACCTTGTCAATTTGCACAGTCACAGGCTCAAGGCATAAGGGCAAAGTAATTATTCAAAAAAAGTTTTCAAACGTTTAATTAAAAAAAAATTGTTATTATTTTTTGTAAAATATCGGTGCCATAGGCTTCTACTCCGTTCACTTACACCCTATTTTTTCCATACGGCAAAAAAGGTCATCCAGTATAATAATTAAAAAGAATTATAAGCCGTCCGTAAGCTACACTAGGATTTTATCCAGTATCGTGGAGGTAGTTTACATACATAAATTTGACAAAAAGAAACATCCAGACCCGGAACAATTACTTGTAGGCCATACTGGTTCCGTCCGGGATTCGAACCCGCGGCCCTTAGCGCTGCAACTCATTGGTAAGCCACAGCTCCACGGAGCCGTTAAAATGTATGTAAATGTATGTAAAGCCTCCACTATATAGGAAAAAAATAAAGTGAGGATAAAGTTTCTAAAAAATATGTTAAAAGTGACCACAAAGAACTGTTTAAAAATAATAGAACAAATCACATTCTGAAATCGGAGATTTTTTTCTTCTACACGCTATATCTTAACACTAACTTTAGAATGTAAAAATTATTATAATCTTTTTTATCGACTTTTAAAGGGAGGAGGTATTCAATTCGACCGTATGTTTGCTTCCCTAGAATGAATGAATGATTCCATAGAATGAACCGTATGAATGATACACGCGTGATATTTTATTAGATATTTTATATTAATTTATTGAACGTGTAGTATCAAGTATTGATGGATCGCGATACGGATCACAGAATTTCTAGATTTCCAAAAATCAATATCGTCGGATCGTGATAAATAATTCGCGTGTAGTATTGCTGCGATACGGATTGCGTCAGTCTGATCTGGAGAAGCGATGGAAGAGGACGACTTTTGTAGCGATGCGGGCGAAATCGCAAACGAAAGCGGGAATCCTGTTTCGACAGGACCATCCACAATCCACCAAAAATATTAACAAGTTATTCTATTATGTCTGGAAACAACGCCCATATTATGGGACACATCGTGTGATTGTTTTAAAAACAATTGTAAGTGCATGAAGGCACTTAAGAAGTTACTACCAATTTATAAAAAAAATAAAAAACGACGCCTTAATAGAAGATGTTAGAAAAAAAAATCATTAAAATCTACACTCTCCTTTTTAATATTATTGCCATAATGATAGCTACAGAAGCTTTAAGCGAGCTTTCATATGTTGTAGAGCCATGCTGCGGTTATATTAGTAGTATACTTGTAGCACTAGTGGGTCAGCTCGCCCGGGGAAGGACCACGCTCTCACAGAATACCGGCGTAAAATAGTAGCTTAATGCTGCTGTATTGCGTATGGGGAGTGTTGAGAACCGGGACTCTTTTTACTAGAAACGAGGCATTCCATCTTAGTCCTCACGGGTGACAACGCATCTACATTCTGATTCGTAATCGAGGATAGATGTAGATATCTATTGGCCACAGTAACCACATATCATCAGGCGGACTGTGTGCTCGTTTATCACCCCATCCTGTTAAAAAAAAGCTTTTTCTACATTTCAGTCCATTTAAGATATGTCTGCACTTAACAGTTTTGTGCCCAATACTGACGTGATCCGTAATGAACGTATAGGGTGTGTCGATATGGATCGCGATACGTCATTCCAGATAGCGTCCCAGATCGTGATAAATATCACGCGTGTAGCATTCGCCAGAGATATAGCTATATACCGTAATATAATTATATGACAGAGATTCCCATCTTACTAGTGAAACAATTATAATTGTAAACTGAATGTACAGGAGCACACTCGTGTAGAAAATAATCATGTTATTTGTTATATTTCAATTAATGTAAGAATGAAAAACATATTCAGGATCAAAGAGATAAATCTGTAGGCAACTTAAAAAAGCTGCTGAAAAAATAAAAATAAAAATAAAAGAGTTCTCCAACTAATTCTGCGACATTGACATTGCATCTTCAGTTCGTGTTGTATTTTTTTTTCATGTTAATTTTTTGACAGTAGGTTTAAGGTGTGGTTGGGGTAGCCCTTTAGCCACCCTAAAGCCACGTCCATTATAATGATATAAAATATAATATCTAAAGAATTGAACGTTTTAATAAATTTTTAATGTTTAATTAAAAAGAAATCAAAATGTATAAGTCAAAATTAGTTTTGACTAGCGTTGTATTTTTAGGATATACAGTAGGATAGCACAATAAACAATAAAGCTCATAATGAAAAAAATTGTATGAAAATAGCTAGGGGTAATATAATAGGGGGGCATTATTTAAGCTAAAGCCATTATTAGATAAAATGACACTCATATCTGTGTACTATGCCTAAATTCATTCTGTAATAAGATATGCCATTACTATTTGGGGTAATGCTCCGGATGTTACAAAAGTTTTAAAATGTCAAAAACAATCTATAAGAATAATCAATGGTCTAAAAAAAGTAGCCCGGCAAGAAAACATTTTAAGAACGACCAAATAATGACAGTGGTTTTGTTTTATATATATAATAGTTTATTAGAGGTACATGAGGATATAGAAATACCGAAAAAGAAAGACATAAATCAGCACAACCTACGTAATAATGAAAAACGTGTTCTACCCATGAATAGATTAGTGAAAGTAAAAAAAAAACAGGGGCGTTACTCAAAAATATTGAGTTATAACAAATTACCAAATAGTTTAACCAGCCTACACTATAGCAAATTTAAACGGAAACTTAAATATTTTTTTGAGGACAACCCATTTTACAAATTAAGCGTATACATGTCAATGCAACTCATGGAATCATTATTCTTGTGTAACGTACAAACAAAATAAATTACCTAATTCTATGACGTAAAGCGTCAATGTAACTAAATTAACATACAATAATATAATTTAATCTTATAAATTTATAAAAACTTTCGTAACCAATGACTTGCCTGTAATGATTGTTATATTATTGTCAATAAATATTTCTGATTTCTGATTTCTTGGTCAACATAAAAATGATAATTTTCCTAAATTAGTCTAGTAACACAAAAATACCAGTAATTATTCACACTGATTCACTTTGAAATAATACTAGTTATTACGGAATTTATCGCGTATATTTAACTTTTTAATTACCCGACGTTTCGAGAGCTTTACAGCACCCATGGTCACGGGAAGGACTGAGATGTTCAACGTCCAGCTGTCATAGTTAACCGCGGTTACCATAGATTAAAATTTAACTTTTGTTCCGATCTACACAGTATGAACTTATGGTATCATGGAGTCTTGCAGTTGTATGCTTGGGTTGGGATTTAATTTTATTTATTATAGGATCCCAAGCAGATGGTAGCACCCAGCCATCTTCTCTATTGAAATTAGGATGTTTTTTGATTTCAATAGCCTCGCGAATCATCCTTGGAAGGAATCGGTGTTCTTTAGCGAGGATTTGTGGTCTATCAAATCTGATGTAGTGACGGGGGCGATCCTGTACATGTTCACAGACTGCAGACTTCCCGGAGCGTCGATTCTTCACATCAGCTATATGTTCTTTGACGCGGGTTTTAATGGATCTTTTAGTTTGTCCTATGTAGGAGAGACCACATTCACAATCAAGCTTGTACACTCCTGCAACTTGCAGAGGGACGTTACACTTGACTGATGGTAAAAACTGACCAATCTTCTTCGGCGGCTTGAAGTATGTTTTGATGGAAGCGCGCTTCAAGATGTAGCCAATCTTGTCAGTGACTCCTCTAACATATGGCAGTACAGCAGGTACACGCTCGACTGTGGCCGGCTTCACTCGTTCTCTGTGACGTAGGCGCGGGACCCGAAGCTTGTTGTCATGCAAAACTTGCTTGACATGTTGGAGCTCGGCAGCCAGTTGTTTACTGTCACAGATCCCTCGTGCTCTCTGAAACAAAGATTTACCCACGGTAGCTAACTGTGAAGGATGGTGGTGAGAATCACCGTTTAAATATCTATCTGTATGGGTCTTTTTTCTATACACAGTATGGCTCAAGGTGTTATCAGGATTCCGAATTACTAACACATCTAGAAAAGCTAAGGAATTGTTTGCCTCTAACTCCATTGTGAACTGAATTTTAGAATTTATAGAGTTAAGATGGTCTAAAAATGCAGTTACTTTATCTAAAGGTAGAATTGTGAAAGTGTCGTCTACGTACCGCTTGTAGAAACTTGGATTTATGGGAGAAGTAAGCAGGGCTTTCTCCTCAAAGTCTTCCATGAATATGTCGGCGACAATGGGAGATACAGGTGAGCCCATCGCCACACCATCTACTTGCTTGTAGAACTCCTCCTTCCACAATAGGTAGCCAGATGTAAGGCAGTGTCTGAGTAATACTGCATATTCTACGGGCATGTTGTTTTCTTCCAGCCTTCTAGTTACAATTGAGATGCAGTCTTCAACAGGTAAGCATGTAAACAATGACTGCACATCAAAACTGACCATAGTTTCATTGTCTGCCAGACGTAGGTCTTTAATCTCGCTGACAAAATGGTAGGAATCCTTTATGTGTGCTCTTGTATGTCCCCTGAGCGGTGAGAGTATTTTCGCTAAGTGTTGAGCCAATCTGTAAGTTGGTGAATCGATTTGGCTCACTATGGGGCGTAATGGAGCATTGGGCTTGTGTATTTTTGGTAACCCATACAACTTTGGTGATTTGGCGCACGTAGGTATTATCCATTTTACGTCCAGATTTAATTTTTCGGAGTGTTTCTTTATGAGGTTACTAGTTGTTTTTAGTGTGCTATTTGTTGGGTCGTTTTTAACCTTTTTATAAGTACTTACATCCGACAAAAGTTCTTGTATTTTAGATTTATAATCTGACGTATCCATGACTACCGTGGCGTTTCCCTTATCATGTCATGGAATGTCCCTTATCATTTCTAAAGGCTTGTGTACCTGAGTTGTCTACTGTGTTAACACGCTTGTTCCATCTCTCATTTAAGACTGGAATAGTGCCAAAATCCTGGAAGCTGGCCAATGTGCAGCCTGTTCCAAAAAAAGCAGTCGTGCTGACCCTGCCAATTATCGGCCAACCTCAATTACCTTATACTCTGCAAGATTATGGAGCTTATATTGAACGCCCGATTAATGGCATACTTAGAACAGAATGACTCCATAGCGACCGGCAATACGGATTTCGCCGAAATCGGCGGCTGGTGACCTTCTAGCGTATGCCACACAGGTATGGGGTGGGGCACTCGAGAACAGTGGGGAAGCTGCTGCTTCTCTTGATGTCTCAAAGGCCTTTGAAAGAATATGGCACGTTAGCCTTACTGGCTGAGCTTCTAGCGTACGGCTTATCCCCTGATCTGATTGACTGGCTAAAGGACTTTCTGAGCGAACGGTTTCTCCGGGTCGTCGTCGATGGCTGCTCACCCGATCCAGTGACGACTAACGCCGGTGTTCCTCAGGGGTCCTATCTCTCTGCAATTCTCTTCCTGCTGTATATTAATGATTTGCTTATGCCCGATATCTATGGGTACGCAGACGACAACACAGTTGTAGAGAGATACCAACCAAGTCCTCGGGCCAGTCTGGATCATATCCAGTCAGAAAGAGAAGCTATGGTAGAGCGTGTGAATCTCACACTACAGGCAGTCTCCGAATGGGGCGATGCTAATCTTGTGAAATTCAATGCCTCCAAAACATAATCGTGTCTCTTCACTGCAAAAATTAGCCAGCTCACCTTGGCTCCTTCTTTCTGAAATGTATTACTGGAATACATCGACCGCCTCCATTTCAGTTGAGATGTCCTCAAATCTGAACTTTGGGTGATTCATTAAGTCCAAGGCCAAGGCCAAAGCAGTAAGGAAGCTAGGAGTCCTTGCAAAGGTGCGGCGAAACTTCACGCCGGGACAGATGCTTACGTTATATAAAGCGCAAGTCCACTCGTGTATGGAGTATTGCTCCCATATATGGGCTGGTGCTCCAAAATGCCACTTAGCAGCTTTCAACTTAATGGAAAGGCGTGCTAAGAGGCTTATCGTTGACCCGAATTCGGTTAAAACCAATATTACCTGCCTAACACAGGCGCAAAGTAGCCAGCCTTTCGGTCTTCTACAGGATACATTTCGGAGAGTGTGCGCAGCACTTGCATAATTTGATTCCTCCCTCTCCCTTCTACCTTCGGACCACCAGACGTTCGGCCAGTCTCCACCTTTTCTTAGTTGACTTGCAACGCATTCGAACCAAACGGTTTGCTACGTCGTTCGTCATGCGCACAGCAAAGGAGTGTAATGAGTTGCTAGCATCTGTCTTTCCATCCGATTACAATGTGGGTGTCTTCAAGGCAAGAGTAAAAAGGTTTTTGCAAAGTCAGTGCACTTTACCGATCTTCTAGACTTAATTTCGGTCACGGGGGCCAGTCTCAACGTAAATGGGAAGAAAAGTCGGAATTGGCCTCTAAAAAGCTTGGCGTTCTCTGCAGAGCGGGACAGTATTTCATGCCGGCACATCGCTGGCAAATTTACAAGGCGCAGATTCGGTCTCACATGGAATGTTGTTTTCATCTCTGCATCGGAGCACCCCAGTGACAGTCCTTCCACTTGATCGTATCCAGCACAGAGCGGTTCGACACGTCGACGACCGAATTATTTCTGATCCGCTTGACTAACTCGTGATACCATCCGTACCATCTGGATGACTGGCGGTCCACCACGTGCAATTTACACGAAGTTTCTTACCCGCGCAACTTCCTTGTGCAATAGACTACGTCCAGCAAATTTTACGGACCGATATGACTTAGGAACTTTCAAGAAAATAAACCTGCTCATTTTAAAAAGGCCGGCAGCGCATTTAAATTGCAATGGTTGTTCATGGGCGGCGGTAGTCAATTGACATCAGGTGAGACGCATGCTCGTTTGCCCCATCTTATATAAAAAAATAAAAGACTAGCAAATTTCACAAGACGGGATTATAGTGCACGAGTGTGCGTGTATATCTATACTCTCTATTTTCTCACTCTTGTAGTCCAATGGGACGGCATCTTGACATGATCGGAGAGAGATCAGGTGCAGGACCGATGATTTTACGTTGCTTTCGAGGCACGCACGCGAGTGCTAGTGAGAATTTCTTGATAGGAAATCGATTAATAACAAATGTTGTTCTTGGCACGACCAGAGATTCGAACTCGGGACTTCGAGTTTCAGCAGTCGCGTTTTTGGCAATATTTCCATAGTCGCCTGCATGTGCGAAATGACTAATGTAGTCGTACATAATTTCTTAATTATCTTGGTATATATAAATTACGGCGTCACGTTGTTTATCCGTAATGGACTCCTAAACTACTTAACCGATTTTAATCAAATTTGTTCACCGTGTGCAGTTTGGTCCAACTTGAGAGATAAGATAGTTTTTTTTGCCCATGAGTGACCCACAATTTTTTTTGCGAATTTAAGGATTTTTATGGGACATGACAGGGTCGTCGAAAAGGGCAGAACAACGTCTGCCTGGCAAGCTAGTGTATATGTATATTATAGATTCTATTTCAAAGTCTTTAGACATATTTTTTTATAGAATAAGAGTGATAAACAAGCATATAATCTATCTGATGGTGAATGATGTGGTAAATAGACATCTACATTGGTTCTCGATTAAAAATCAAAATGTAAATGTGATGCTACACCTGAGGACTAAGATGGAATGCCTGGTTTCCAGTAAAAAGGTCACCCGTTCTATATATTCACCATATGAAACACACCAGCGTTAAGCTGCTATTTTACATTGGTATTCTGTGTGAACGTGGTTCTTCGGTCGCACCGACCCATTCGTGTTACAAAGCGGCAGCATGGCTCTGCCATATATAGTGGTGTGACGGCATTGACTTGGCACAAACGAAACGCACTGAAGCCTAATATCGCGCTACCAAAGTTCCGAACTACCACGCTATATGTAGAACAGCTCCGAAATAATATACAAAATATTGGCCGCTCCCCGGGACGAACACCTCGTCCGGTAGGAGATCTCCCCATTTTCTTCCAAGGCCAAAATAGTTACCTCGACGTGATGTGAACACGCAACCACACAACTTGCGGAAACTACAACTTCAATCATTTGTCATTATTATCAAGATTCCCTACCATTCGCTCAAGATTCCATACCAGTCTTCAGACCCTGCAAGCTATTCTAGCTTTACTATGTTCCTTCAACCTACTCTCTCTCTCTCTCTATTCTGAACCTTACTGCTCGCTTCTGCTTCACGGCACTCTCGCGGATTACTTGCCTTCTTCTCGAGTCACCGCAGACTACAAGGCTATCCCCCTGGCACTAGCACACTTGTCGACAACTGGACTGCACCTTCTACTTCCTGTCTGAATATGTAATGTGTGACAGCGCCCCACAGTATATCTATAATAACGTATGGGTTTTGTTACAGACATCTTACCAATCTGAAGAGGCGGCGAGGTTTTTAAAGAAGACTTGGGAAGCAGAATATCAGGTGAAAATATCTAAACCTTAAGATTTTTTAGTTCACATATTAAAAAACTGTGTGCTGGGCATGTAAGAAAATTCACTACCTCATATCATTATGGGGATATCTTAAGACGCGTCAAAGGGAAACAAATCAGGAGATGGAGAGCAGCGTCCTCCTTATAACAACTTAAAAACTACGGTTGCCAAACCGCTTGCCAAGCGTGGCAACTAGATATAAAACGGATATCCAGTAACTCTCCGATATTCGACCTATCCGGCCTAAAATTAGGCCAGATATCGTATAACAAACAGCTGTCCGGTCAGATACCGGATTAAAAAAAAAACACACAAAATATCAAATTTTGTCAAGTACTTCATTTATGTCACTTAACAAATAAAATCATCAATCGCAAAATTTTCATTTTAAAACTTACAAAATTAGTATTCGTACTGCGCTAAGGCACAGAATAAATAATAGTACTACGTAGCTAGCTTCGTGTCTTTCGCAGACACGCTGCTGCAGGGTGCTGAAAGATAGATTTTAGCAAACATTGATAAATTTGGGTATTGTATAGCAATACCTGCCCACCAAATGTTTATATTTTTTTAACTTTACTTTTCGCTTCTTGCGATGCACCAAACGGCAAAGTTTGGCGGAATATTTGGCGACCAGATAACCGGCTATCCGGCGATAAAACTGGCCGAATATCCGGTATCCGGTATCCAGTTATCCGTTTCATCTGTAGTGACAACTATAGAAAATATCCCCCGTATGGGGTAGACCTATGTTCAGCATTGGAACTCAATATGCTGTAACGATAACGTTTACGGTAACGGTAACACATTATAGGTACGTTCTTAGGGCTTATTTTTATATTGCCAAATGAAAGTTATCCATCAAATAAAAGATATATGCATTGTACGATATACAGAAGTTAATGAATAATTTATGTTAGCGACGACAAAGTGAATTCGAACATTTAATTTTAATTACTCCTTATCAGTGATTTAAAACTAAGTGATAGTATTTAATCTTAATTGTTTCCTATTTGTAAAATAAAGTTAAGTGTAAATACTGATTAGTGCTGAAAACAGGAAAGTAAATTAAACACTTCTATTCTTATCTTAAAGTAACTTATATGAATCTATTTAATATTATATAGGTCTGATTAGAACATTAGACGCAAGTATAAGCTTATTTTTCTAGTAAGATTTCTTTTATCATAACTCTAAGAGCTATTAACATATAGGTGATTAATATAATTTTTCTTCCTTTAAAGTAATTCAAAAGAAAAATGAATGTGTCAATTAATCACTATATAATGTCATTTCATTATGAGAAAGATTTAAATCTTATGAAAAAATATTGTATAGATTCTTAAGCGTTATTCCTGAAAAAGTGTTGTACATTCCTACCTCTTGGCGGCGCTACTTGTATGTTCGGCAAAAAATACTATCCTACTCCGGAGCTAAACCGTGAAGCGACCGCGAAGCTATTTTTATTTTTTATAAGTGTAAAATAAAGGTTTATTGAATAATTTAGGTTTAGAATAATAGAAATAAGTTGTATCTATCGTTAGGAATAAATATAAATGTTGTAAGGTATGTTTTACCACGTTTATTAAGAAAATTGTAAATCTCTCTTAGAAAGGGTTATTCTGTGCTCTGATTGGTCAATAGATTCACTAATTCTGTGTGCGATTTTTTCTTAATTATGATTGGTTACAGCCGCTTATAAAAAAGGGGCGTTTTTCGTGGTAAAATATTCCAAATCCGGCAATGTAATAATAAGGAATCAAGAAATAAAATAAGAAGAAACTCTCAAGAAGTGTTATTTATTGCTCATCTAACTGCTACTGTATGCTCTCCAGTTAACATCCCGCCAGCAACCCGCTCTATTTTATCGACGCTCCCTTATACGAGCAATTACATTGGTCCTTCGAGAAGCCGGATCGGGTTTAAGGAAAACTAGGAAGATGCCTTCAAATACAAGATCAAAATCAGTGCAGTCGAAGACTACGAGTGAAAGTAACGCCACTACGGGTACCAGTACGACGGATTGGAGCATGAATACGCCGAGCGATTCTACAAACACGACGGCTACTAACACGTCGACTTCAGATCGATCGACGCTTACAAGAGCATCGCCCAGCAGCGTACACAGACAACCCGTACTTCTTAACAAGAACATTGCCGGAAAAGAATCAACACCGGGGGACGTAACCCATACCACCCCCCCAACACGCACCGTCGAAGCGTCAGTTCCTCACCAAGAAGAAAGTCATCCAACGCCGCAGATTCAAGAAAGAAGTGTCGCAATGAAGACTCTGCAGCAGCCTCACCCTAAGAAGACGACCCGCGATCCAGACACGCTTTCCGTTCGTTCGTCGCATAGGAAGAGAGCAGAAGCGCAAGCAAAGATGACAATGGCATTAAGGGAACTAGAATTGGCAGAAGCGCGGTCAAAAGTTGCTCAAGCGGAATTAGAACTTCTCACCGCGGAATCAGAAGAGGAAGATGGTGCCGGAGAAGAGCTGTTCGAACGAACTCGAGAAGTCGAACGCTGGTTCATCCAGACCGGAGACATGCCTAATAAGAACCACAAACCAATAGAGGCAGAAGAAAAGAAAAGTGACATCCAGGAACTAGCTTCAGTCATACTAAAGCTATCAGAAAAATCACGTGACACCGTTTCACCGAAGCACCTCGAACTCCCTCACTTCAACGGGGCCTGCGAAGAATGGTTAGCCTTCAAAAGATCATACGAGGATACGGCTGCTTCTTTCAGTAGCAATCAAAACCTAGCGCGCCTTAGAATAGCGATCCAAGGAAAAGCTAGAGAAGCCGTCCAAAGCCTGCTGTTCACCGCCGAAGACCCACGCGAAGTGATTAAGGGACTGGAAGCAAGATTCGGAAGACCTGGAGCACTAGCATTAGCAGAACTAGAGAAAATGAAGAACCTCCCAAGAGTCGGCGAAAACCCGAGCGACATATGCATATTTGCAAGCAAAGTAAAGAACGCAGTCGAGACAATCAAAGCCTTGAAGAAACCACAGTATCTCAGTTCACCTGAAACGCTGAGAGTTATAGTAGACAAGATGCCGACGTCAATGAAGTTCCGTTGGTTCGCCTACCACAGAAGCAGAAGAGATGAGGAAATTCAGGAGCTATTACTTATCGAAGCGTTCCTAGAAACAGAAGCAGACATGTGCGGAGACTTCGCCCCGCCCGAAGCGTCCTCAGAACAAAGAAGAAATATAAGAAGTCGTGTCCGTTCTGTGGGGAAGAACACTTCGCATTAGAATGTAAAAAGTTCAAAGAAGCCAACCTGAATGAAAAATGGGATATGACCAAGAAGGCAAAGATATGCTTCAAATGCCTTCGATTCAGACACTCAAGAATCAACTGTAAAGCACCAGTCTGCAAGCTGTGCAAAAGATGGCATCATACCATATTACACTCTGACAAACCACCGGCATCGATAGAAAAAGAAGCAAAAGACACCAATAGCACCTCAGAAGAAAAGGTCGCCTCAATTCATAACGCCAAAGGAGAAGAAAAGGCCTACCTAAAGATGATCCCCGTGAACCTCTATGGCCCAAAAGGACAAGTTCGCGTATTGGCACTACTAGACGAAGGGTCAACGGTCACACTCTTAGACGCATTAATCGCTGAGAAAATCGGAGTCGAAGGAAAGAAAGAAAAACTCACGATCGAAACCGTCGGCGGAAAGGTGTTAAGAAAAGATAGTTCACAGAAGATCGAGTTCAAAATAAAAGGGGCTCATAGGAAAGAAAAGAGAACTATCGTAGCAAGGACCATCGACGACCTGAAGCTGTCTGAACAATGCATAAACAAGGACACCGTGAGAAACTGTAAGCACCTGAAGGCAATTGAAAATCAACTCCTCTACGTCACCGAGAGGCCCAAGCTACTGATAGGCCAAGACAATTGGGGGCTGATAGTGACAAGAAAACTGAAGAAGGGCAAACCATCAGATCCTATAGCTTCCCTCACGAACTTAGGGTGGGTGTTACACGGATGTGAAACAGGAACAACTGCCACAGTACACTTCACTCATTATGGCAAAGCGACCACTGGCGAGGAAGACATAGAAGACCTCGTCCGAGAACACTTCCAACTAGAGTCTCTAGGGATCCAAAATCGTTCACCATCTAACGACAGCGACAGAAGAGCATTAGAAACCCTCGAGAAAACTACCAAGAAACTGCCAAGCGGTCAGTATGAAACGGGTCTCCTGCGGAAAAAAAGAAGATGAACGCCTGCCCAACAACTACAATCAAGCTGTTCGACGCCTGGTCAGCATCGAGAAAAAATTGGATCGTGATCAAGAAGCAAGAAAGCACTACGAGGAGCAGATCCTGAGTCTAATCGAAAAAGGATACGCAGAGAAGGCTCCAGAAACCTCTAACAAAGGAAGGACATTCTACCTACCCCACTTCGCTGTTGTACACCCAGTCAAGAAGAAGCTAAGAATAGTGTTCGACGCAGCTGCCAAGTACGAAGGAAAGAGCCTCAACGACGCCTTGCTCTCGGGCCCAGACTTGCTACAATCACTATTCGGAGTACTGCTGCGTTTCAGAGAGGGACCAGTAGCCGTCATGGCAGATATACAAGACATGTTTCTCTGAGTAAAAGTCAGAGAAGACGACCGAGACAGTCTCAGGTTCCTGTGGCGCGGAAACCGAAGAACCGGCAAGCCTGAAGAGTATAGAATGTCTTCAATCATCTTCGGAGCAGCGTCATCACCTGCAACAGCAATATACGTAATGAACAAGAACGCAGAGGAATTTAAGAACACTCATCCTGAAGCAGTGAAAGCAATTAAGAGAAATCACTACATGGACGACTATCTGCAGAGCTTCGCATCTACAACCGAAGCAAAGAAGATATCCAAAGAAGTGAAAGACATTCACGCAAGAGCAAACTTTCATCTGAAGGGATGGGCCAGCAACAACTCGGGGGTAATATCAGAGGTAGAAGACACAAACAAAGAAAACTCCT